GGAAGCTTGCTATTTTTATGACACAGTAATTGGATTGAACACAATCAAAGTTCAGTGGTAACTGATCTTCCCTTCCTGGGTGAGTGAGCAGGTGGTTTTCCTTCTTTCATCCTGACATATATGCCTTATTTCCTGTTCTTACTTTATTGCAATGGCAAGTATTTCCAGTCTCTGTTGAATAGGAATGGCACAAGTGGTCATTCTTGCCTTGCTCCTGATCTTAGTGACACAGTTACATGGGACATCAGCTGTACAAGTTTGCAGATGCTCTTTAACAAGTTGAGACCATGCTCCTCTATCCTCATTGAGGTTTCTATCATGAATGAATGTCAACTCTTCTTTCCCCAAACTTAATATAATTTTCTTCTTGGGCCTGTAGATGTAGAGATGACACTGATGGATTTTTCAAATATTGACCTAGCTTTGCAATCTGTAATAAGTCCAATTTGGTTGTGATATATACTTGATTTTTGCATTTTTGTATCCAACTGGCAATGTCTGCTAAAAATGTGTGCACATATGCATTTGAACTCAAGGCCTTATGCTCTTGCTGGTGCTCTACCACTTGAGCCATACCTCCAGTCAAGCTTTTGGCTAGCTAATTGGAGATAGTCTTCAGGACTTTTCTTCTGGGATTAGCCAAAGCACTATCCTCAGGTCTCAGTCTCTTGAGTAGTTAGGATTATGGATGTCTGGCCTTTTTGAGAATGTATGGGCCTACTATTAGTCTGTAGTACATTTGTTGTTATTGTCTTAGATACATTTGGGGTACTTTTGGTCTGGTTTTGGTATCAGGGCTATGCTATCTTCATAGAATGACTTATTAAGTATTTTCTTTTCTATTTCTTGAAAAAGATCGGTCTGGTAGAATTCTCTTAAACTATCCTGGCCTGGAAATTTTTTCTTGGAGAGCTTTTAAATTATGAATTCAGTTTCTGTAATAGCTATAATTCAATTATAAATTTCATCTTGGCAGGGTTTGGGCTAATCATTTTTGATTGCTAATTTCTACGTCAGTATTTCCCACATTTACTCAATGATACAGCAACATTTGCAAAGAAGCAATGGACTTTAGTCTGACCTTATATATACAACATCCACATGCAGTGTATGAACAAAACGTCTAAAACAAGAGAAAGGGAAAACCCATTAAGATGGAAGAGAAAAAGAAAAGATAAAATGTCCTGAAGGTAATATTTGAGGAAGCTACATCAAACAATGGAAAAGAAGCTGTTGCTGATGACTGTTATCATCCAATACTGAAATGACCTTGCACTTAATTTTATACAACTAGGTCCAGTATAAGAATACTGCAATTTCCCACTGTTAAACTGTTATTGAAATGCAAAAGGAATCAAATGTGTATACTGCTGTTATCCCTTTAATGAATGGTTGCTAGGGAAGAGAAGCCAAAAGATACTTTGTCAACTATTTTTGCAAAGCATTCAGAGGGTTTGGGACATTCTAGCTGCTAACAATGAAATCAATGAACTAGAGAGATAGGATTTTGGAGTTAGAGCTTGTCCCAGATCTAGACTGTGTGAAATCAGATTAACAGAGCATGCTCTTAATCCAATCCGGGAACAGCAAAAGTCACATTTCATTTCATTCTTTATCATCTTAGTAAAAGGAAAATCATTCTACCCACTCCCTAAAACCTAGCAGACTCAACAGCAGTCAAATCCCATTTTCCCCAGACCAGAGGACTCTACAAGTTTTGAGATGCTCTGGGATTTCAAAGTGTAAAATACATCTGAAGTAAATTAGTGATAGTCATAGATGTGAGAATCCCATTTATTAATATATTTTTATTTTAATGGGATTGCCTATCACACAATTACAGTTCAAAATATAAGAACATCCATGGGGGGAGGAGGGTTGAGTGGGGAGGCGGGGGGGGGGGGCGGGGAGGAAGGGGGGGAGGATGGGATGGGAAGGGGAAACAAAGGAGAAGGCTACAATGCTTGATAAGAAATGTACTCATTATCTTGCCCATGTAATTGTAACTCCTCTGTACAGTACTTTCACAATAAAAAAAAGAACATCCATCAGACAGTGTGTGTGTGTGTGTGTTGTGCAGTGTGAGAAGAAAAGCTGGTCACATTTTTAGAGATGAACACCAAGAATATCTACTAAGTAGCAAGCACGCTGAGAACACAGAGTGAATTAAGGCGCTGTCCCTGTTCTTTTCCAAGAGTGGAACGTCAGGAAGTATCTGAATTCCTTCTGATTTTCATTTTTTAAGCAAAGAAAAGTCACCAAATAAGTCTTTCCCTGTGAAGATCACTAATACTTTTAACTCCAGACATTGGAGGCTGGAAGGCCACTAAGTATTATTTAATCCAATGCTTGTCTTTTATAGACAGAGAAAAACACAGAGAAATGAAAGCATTTATCAAAGATTATAGCCGAGACTGGAATCTAAATTTCCTGACCATCAATCAAGTACTCTTTATGTTACAAGTCCAGTGGCTTTTTTTCCTCCTCCCTTCTGCCCATAGTTATGCAGTATCTAATCATGCCAGTTAGATTCAGATGAATAGAACTCAGCCCCTGTTCTTCTCCCTCTCCTCTCTCATTTTCTTTTCTTTTCTTTTCTTTTGGGGGGGATCCGGTTGTGGGGCCTGAACTCTGGGCCTGGGCACTGTCCCTCAGCGCTTCAACTCAAGGCTAGCGCTCTACCACTTGAGCCACAGCGCCACTTCCGGCTTTTTTCTTTTTGCTTATGTGGTGCTGAGGAATTGAACCCAGGGCCTCATGCATGCAAGGCAAGCGCTCTACCACTGAGCCACCTTCCCAGCCCGTCCTCTCTCATTTTCAAAGCATCAGTTTAATAGATAATTTTAAAAATTATTAAAGATTTACCCTGAAATAGGCAATGGGGTCATTACCAAACTGTGTAATTGTACCTCTGAGAAATTTAGTATCCATATAAACATCAGCATGATGTTCATAGACACCAAAGTTATATGCAAGTCGTCATCATCATCATCATCATCACCACCATCATCATCACCATCATCATCATCATCCACTCAAGGTTTCTGACCTTTTAAACTAACTTCTTAATATTCACAGCCTCAGTGTAAAAATTGTGACGTCTCTTTTGCTGTGCTAGCATAGAAGTGCAAATATGGAGATTTTAATGCTTACTCTACTGCTAACCAATTAGTTGTGCAACTCTGGGAAAGTCTCCTCAATCAGCACAGTGAGGAGAGTCCCATCTTCCCCGATTCAGCTTTCTTTTCAAATTCAACCGAATCCAAGGTTTGTTTATTTTGTTTGCTTCTTTCCATATTTCTTGGGTTCTTTTCTCCCTCTCCATGCTAGTCTGAGCCAAACTCTTCTACCTGGGTTAGAGTTAGTCTTCAGGCTGTTGAGATTAGGAGGGACTCACGGAAAGCAATTTCAAACAAGATTTAGTCTAGAGATATGTAGGACAGATTGGAGCTAGAAAGCGAATTAAGAATAAAGACCAATCTCACACAAAAAGTCTGTCATTCAAGTCCTTCCAGAAAAGGCCTCCATTGGGTTTTTCCAATGAACCTTGTTTCAGTCCAATGGGCTGAAACAAAATATAACCTTGGCATGTGATTAAACAAACAAACAAAAGGCTAGAAATGTGTCTCTCATACGCTCTTGAAGCTGGCAAGATCAGGGCACCAGTACAGCTAGGTCAGATCTGTGACAGCCACCTTTCAGATTGCAGACTCTGATTTCTCCTGGCATCCTCTACGTGATGGAAGGCACAAACGAATTCCCTTGGGCACTGACTCTACTTAGGGCGGCTCCACCTTCATGAGCCAATCACATTTCACATCCCACAGGCCCCAGCTCCTGATAGGTCACATTGGTAACGAGGTCTCCACACGGGCATTGCAGTGGGATATTGGGACCACAGCATCCTCAACACACAGCCTTCTCAGGCACATACCCGTGTCTCATATCACATCCTTCTTGTGGAAGAACTTTTTCCATTCTCCATAATGTTTATTCTAACAGTTTTTAAAGTCATTATCTTCCCTGGGAGCTCTTTCTTTCCTCTTTATTCTTCTGCAAGTATTTAGAATCCAAAATAACAAGTTCATTTCCCAACTTGCTCTCACAAATGTTGTAAGCATAAAAGAAATGATATGCAAAAACTCAGCCAACACTAATGGGAAAAATATAGAGTACAAAGATTAGAAATTATTTCTTCTTATCTTTTGCAAATTAAAATAACTGGTTGTTGATCTTTCTTTTTATTGTTGACCTTTCTTACAGAGGATTGATATAATTTTTTCTCAATGATTGCAGAATAGTTAATAAGGATATTAAAAAACCTTTTTTTTCTTGGCCATAGGCAACTTTTGATATATGAAGATCTTACCAATTAATATGTCTAATTGAGGCAGATACTGAAACAAGCAGTGAGAAATGTTAATAAATGAGGGTAGGGTGGCTTACTCCCTTAGAAGATAAGCTTTGAGGACTATTTCTATTTCAGTGTCAATCTAACTGATTAATAACAATCCAGCTGAGTGATAATCAGAAATGATTATGAGTGTTGATGCTAATGACAGAAGGGAAGGATTTGGGAAAATTTTCAATTTCTCTCCTCATTCATATTCTCAAACTCTAATTGACATACTTTTCTCCAGAGAAAGGCCACAATTAGAGGAATTCCTGGGGTTTGTGGAGAGGGGTAGAGTAACAGTGTCCTATCTCATCAATGGTCAATGCACCCAGAATGTTCTCAGAGTCCTCGTGCTGTACTTATGCCAACTCCAAAGGACATTTTTCCCCCAAGAAAGGGGTTTCAAAAAAATTTTAGTTTCTCTCACTACTGTCCATTTGACATAACAGAAAAAATAACCACTATATTTTACAGAGAAATTCTGTTATCCAAGATTTTGCTAATTATGATTGAGAACAGAAGCATACAGTGTTTCAGAGAAAACAATTGAAGGGGAAACATCTGAAAGCAATTTCCCCCCATTCTTTGTTGTTGGGCTACTCACGGCAGGTCTTCCAATCTGGAGGCTTCATGTCTTGGATCCAATAGATCGTAACCACACTCATTGTAGATTTCCAAGTAGGAAATGTGTGTTGTGTATATTTTGCTGCTGTCCTGATTAGAAAAGAGAGAGAGAGATTATTTAATGACTATAAATAACAATTCTGCTTTTAGAGAAAGATGAACACGCTTATCCATGCAATGTCTTCATAGATTCTCTCCTTTCCTCTTGACTTTTATATGGTTTACATTTTCAGTTCGTGACACTTTCAAGTTGCCATTACCATATGCATGAAGCTTTTTTTTAATGGCCAACACCCACGATTACAAGTAACTTCAGTCTGTTATTTTTTTTATTGGTTCCACATTATACATAAAATGTCAATAGACACTTACAATGAGCCAACTTGGTTGCAGAACTGTATAACACACCATCTTTTACTTTCCAGACCCCCCCAAAAAGTTAGAGAAAAACAAACTTACATTCTGTGAATAGACTATTTGTAAAAGAAAGTAGATCATTACTTTGGTTCCAAAACTTCAGTAGCAAAATAGTTTCCATCTTCAATCATAATTCCTTTTTTTTACTTTTCTAATAAAAAATACTTTTCTGATGACATAAATAGAAAATAATGAAAGTAAGTTCCAAGAGACAAAAAAATTGGCTTTGCTCCATCAGACAAGAGTTCACTGCCTATCTTTTGTTTACTGTTTTATTTATTTATTTTTACTTTGGTTTTGTCCCAAGGGGGAGAGTCAGGGAATACTCAGCTCCTGGTTAGATAAAAGGTATATGCTCTTCTCAAGGCTGAGATGAGATGGGCTTCAAGCAGACGAGTCTAAAAGTCAAGGTTATCATTCTTACTCTCACTTCTGCTAACAGACAAAAGGGACCTGATCTCTGCAAGGTGCAACATAGCAGGTATTCTCTTTCAGCTCTTCAGAAAACTCCAAGTTCAGTTTTCTACACAAAACATCCTATAATAGTGTCTTTTTGTTCTTACCCAAATACCACCACTTCTATTTCTGAAAATGTTATCATGCTATGCACAAAGGCAGAACACATTCAAGTCTTCCGGCCAGAAGGCTGGCAGGCGTGGGAGGAGATAATGACCGGGAACAGTCCTTACTGGCCTCAACTCACAGACAACACAATCCATTTAGAAGGAGAAAGGACCAAGTCATGGAAACCAGGAAGAGGATGGTGGCTTGAAAATCAAAAACTAAAATCCAACAGGAAGTATGATTCAGGAGTCTAGAGCATCTTCCTGGCAAGCATAATGCTATGAGTTCAAACCCCAGAACTTCCAAAAACTAAACTGCTAGTCTAGTCAAGGCCTAGTTTTCATGCTTAGGCCTCGGTTTTCCTTCCCATTAAAGTAAGAAATGAATAAACTCCTATGTCTTTTTAGTTGAAAATGAATTATTCTTTGGTCCTCAAATGGCTCAAACTATACCAATACAGATGATAGTGCCTTCATAAAAACAATGTGGAGGCAATTCTTTGCTCACATGTGACTACCCTGAGCATTCAAGCTGTGGCTGAACCTCCATGTGGTGGTGTTCTGTGAAGATGACCACAGATGCTCAGCCCAGCACTGGAAATTCTACTGCTAGGAGGGCTCTTCGTGATTTCATCAGATCTACACGGCTCTGGCTTGCAGCTTGCTTTAGTACAGGTATGAGAGACAATGAACACAGGACAGATTCTGTGTGGCTGTTGGTATAATTCAGTGTCTCCCACACACACACGCCATGGAACATTCCAGGGAAATCTGTGCCGTGGTTGATAACCACACTCCACTCTTCCCTGAAAGCTTTTGGGGCTCAAGGATCTCAGGTTCCCTTCCCTAGGACTCCATGTCCTCCTGAAGCCCATGTATTTCTAACAGTTATCTGAACATATTTGAACTAGTCCCCAGAAATTATGGTTTGCCACTTCAGCAAACAGTTTCTGAGCTCTTCTTAGCATCAGACAAACTTGTGTTTGGACACTGAATATTTCTACTGTGTGGTCCAGCACATGATCTTCATTCAGTTCTTCACCGTGAGCACACACCAGGGAGTAATAATCCTGATCTCGCAGAATTACTGTGACAGAGAAATGAGGCCCTGAATTTGAAATCTTACCCGAGGTGTGTGGCCTACAACAGGTGCCAGTGAACCACTGTTGCTCCTGCTGCTATTATTATTGCTGTTGGTGGTGTTTTTAATTACTAAGTCTACAAGACTCCAAGTGGAGGATGAAGTATGCGAACCCAAAAGGACAGAAAGAGAACAACAGAAAGAACAGCCAACTTATATGTCGGTCTGCAGTCGAGCAACCTTCTTCCAGGAACTAGAATAAACTACAAGGAGTTGAGACGACATCAGGTCTTCTCCTTGAGATGAGAGGGGTAAGGCCTCTGGCTCCTCTAGCCTGGGTTTTTCTGGACTTTTACTGGCATACACACTCAAAATCCACAGAGCAAAGCTACCTTTCCTTACTACTCCTTTCCGGTGTCTTGCTTGCCAGACTGTAATGTAACACACATGTTTCCTGCAGACACTTTTCTCTTTTGCTCCCCAAACAAGTGTGAACCTCATAACACTCAAAAAATAATAAGCAGTGATTCCTAAAATGAATGTGTTCAATTCTCTTCTCTTAAAAAAGCAGTGACAATTTGCTCTTCTCGCCCTCACAGGCATTTCAGGACCCATAGGCACTGGGCTCTTAATTTACCTTGAATTAAAGGCTTTGCACAAGTCAAATGTCTTGAAGAGAGCTCCAGTGACTGTCCAATGCAGTTAAAATAAGCAGGTTGGCTGGGCACTGGTGGCTCATGCCTGTAATCTCAGCTACTCAGGAGAAAAGTGGAAGTAGCTCTGTAGCTCAAAGTGGTAGAGCGCTAGCCTTGAGTGAAAAAGCTCATGACTGAAAATAAGTAAGTAAATATACTGTGTTTTAGGAAGATCTAGGTCCTTTCACAGGTTACTTCGGCTGTACATTGCCAATCATTTTTCTCCAAGTCCAGGGGGTTACTTGGGACTGCTCCATATGGGAACTCTAACAATAAACCTCATGGGTGAGAAGTTCTTGGGAGATATTTCCATGTCCAGAGCTCTATGTTAGGAAGTTCAACTGAATTAGAGAAGTTGGCTTCATTTGTTCTGAGAGTTTCAAAGGCTTATCTGAAAGTGGTCGGGGATCACTTTGGCACACGCACATGTATGAATACACACGGCTGTGGTAATAACAGTCATGCACTGTCGTGCACTGTGCATCTGCTCCTTCACACGCTGTGTGCCCCTCCCAGCACATCCAAAAGATGCAGGCCACAGGCAGCCACGGTACACTTTGTCAGAACCAGGTCAGTCTACAGCAACTCCATTGATAGTCCCAAGACCACAGGCTTTCCTAGTAGGCCACAGTAATAAAAACTACCCCAAATTATACTCTGACTTTGTGAAATGTGAGAGTCGAACAGGTAACGTCAGAAATAAATGAGCAACTGAAAAGAAGAGCTTTGGCCACGGACCCTCCGTCATCCGCGCCCCTTTCCCTTCCACATTCTCTGGCTTGCAGAGCTGGCACGTTTGAGCTGGCGAGAGATGAGCTGAACTAATGGATAATTGCTACTTTATGGATGGCAATTAGAATTATGCAGATCTCAGCGATTTCTTCTCATCTTTGCAACTCAAAATGCAAATAACCTACAGAAAGAGGACTTTTTGGAGTGACTTTTTTTTGTTAAATGACCTAGTTAGGACATTTGTTATAAAGAGTATGTGCAACCCAGGAATTGCTGGAGCTAGAAGAGATGCTGAAAAGTCCCTGCTTCCACAAGGTTAAGTGCCTCATCCGAGAGCATTTGTTTAAAGACAACCAAGAAAACAAAGCGAGCCTGAGCTGTGGAGACAGTATATGAGTATGGCAACATGCACTGGGTTTGGTTTGACAGACCAGCTCAATCCCAGGACTGAGCGACAGATTCACTGTTTTTTTATGGACCTAAAAGGCAATCTTTAACCAGAGGCTCAGCTTTCCAAACTATAGAATAGGATACTGACTTTGTTGGTTGTGTTATGTGTTAGATAGTGATAAAACACTGGGCATATAGAAACCCTTGAGGAATGGCAGATCTAATGCAGCTGGAGAACTCCTCTTTATAATAATCATGTTCATCATAGCAAGGTTTGTTCTCTGATAAACTCCTCTGGCTTCTTAAAAGCTACCACAAAATCCTTTCTAAATGCTTTAATGGCTACAAGAAAGGCCTAGTGTGGTAAAAGGCTCTGCCACAGTTTCTTGTTGAGAAACTCCAGCTATTAATAAGGTCTGAGCTGGTAAAAAGGTGTCATCTGCTCTTTTAAGCTCCATGGGTGTGTATGATATGGAACCGGAGACTTTGCTGAAGTAGCAGCAGCCTTTTAAGTGAATAGGAAGAACCTTAATTTCTACTTCTCCAGCAAAATCCTAACCTTTCCTTAAATGTAAAGGCCAGAGTTATTAGGCAGTGATACTTTTTCGTGTAGTTACAATATGATATAATGTCCTAGCACATTTCCTGGCCACAGTAAATGTGTGCTGAATATATCAAATACAAAACGAGCTTCACTCTGTACCTTCTGTAATTGCTCAAAGATGTAGGATAGCGTCCTTGGGATGATGCCTCTGTCGCTGTAGCGCTCGGCCCCACCCGTGATGGTGAATGTCTTACCACTGCCCGTCTGTCCGTATGCAAAGATGGTACTGTTGTAGCCTGCCAACACACTGGAGGAAGAGAGAGAACAATCTGAATGTCAACATGGTGACCTGCATCCATATGAGATGACTCGTACGGTAGCGATCTTACCAACACTGCAGAGATGGTACAATTGAAATACTTCATGATGCAAGTATCTAGCTAGTATTTACCTTTTAATCTAGGAATCTCAGCTCACTGGTATGACAAGATAACTGTAATAGAATCCAATCATCTTTAATATTTTCTTCCTATTTTATTACACTAAAAGTGAGTCAAGGTATATGTTCATAAAGAAGGTCTGGGTATGCCGCATCTGCAATCTGGCAAACAGTCTACCTGGCATCTGGTACCTCAGATGATGAGAAACCATCCCTTGAACACCAGAAGTACACTTCGTGTGCTGCTATAGAACACCATGTATGTACTCTGAGCACTATTATAGAACACCAGATACACACTCCGTGTCTTCTACATATCTTGTGTAATTCCCCAGCTAATGTTTAGTACCCACTGAAAATCCTCTAGGACTCTCCTTCCATTTCTTTCATTTTTTTTAAATTTTTATTTTTTTATTGTGAAAATACTGTACAGAGGGGTTACAATTACATGGGCAAGGTAATGAGTACATTTCTTATCAAGCATGGTAGCCTCCTCCTTTCCATTTCTTTCTTGGAATGTCTTTGTGCTCGAAGATTACTGGTTCCCATGTGTTCTTCAGGCCTGCCTGGCAGCCCAGAATCTGCTGGTGGTCTGAAGAGCCCTGGACCTTCTCAGCCTTTACAAACCACCACCTGTAACATAGGCCTTTAAAGATGCACATGACATGATGCAGGCTTTGAACACTGAGTCTTTCATCTCTGCTACAGAAAACAGTAAACTCTTGGTGCTGCACTGTCTCTCTTGTTACAAGGGACTCCTTGATCTTCAACATGTTTTCATGGAACCAGCTACGATGATGTCAGCTAATGGCACCCATATTGTGAGGTTTTTTTTTCTTTGTAAATAGTTTGGTTCCTCCGAGATCTTTCTTCATGGTCCACGCTGAGATCCTTTCTCTTCTACTGCTATGGCGAGCCTGTGAACCACTCTCTCATGCCTGCATGCTGAATGACCTGTTCTTACAATGTCCAGTCAAAACACACCGTGGGGCACAGAGCTCATTATCAAGTGGTCAGTTATATCCTTGGCATCTTACATAAGAGCAAACTAACAGTAACATCTTCAGCAACAAATCGATGCATGTTTTTTTTTCCTCTGCAAGTAGGTATGCAAAATTACAGGACTTAATACAGGGAGGAGGCAAAAAGTATCAAGGCTGTGATTCAACTTTGACTTTTGAGAAGCGTGGTGATTTTTCTTCATGTGTTTTGGCATGGAGACAACATACTGTTGAAATTTCTCAGCCTGCAAGACACTGGACTCACCAAGATGCATTTAGGTGGATGATGACAGAATCTTTTTCCTCCACAGAATGTTTCATCAATAAAACAGAAATGTCTCATTGGCAATGTCATTAGAATATAGGGTGTTTCTTAGCCATAACTGTTCTAGGTAAATGAAGTCTATAACTTTAAAAAGTAGACCTTAAACCTTTTCATTCTTTATGTGAAATTTTCTAAAACACATTAGGCATTATCTGTCTTGGAAAGCAAAAGAACATGAGCGCATGAACACTTTCATTTTAAAAGACAGAGCTAGCAAAGGTAGTCCTGGAGCATGTTCCACTGGCACCCGCTAGTCATTACGTCTGCTTTTTTTTTTTTTTTTTTTAATGTGTGAATCTTTCTTTATGCTGAGGGATGTCTCTGCATATCTGCCCCTAATATGAGCACCCCCTACTGTCATTGACTATAAATGGAAAACCAGATGAACAGCCTCCCAGAAAACTGTGTTACATAAAAGGAAAGTGGGCTACACACACACACACACACACACACACACATACACACACACATACACACACACCACCACCACCACCACCACCACCACCACCAAAACAAAACAAAAAAACAAAAACTGCACAAGGATGTGGACAAGCAATTGTCCTTTCCCAGCTCAATCTTGCATTTGCTGTTCACCAGGCCCCAGGCAAACTGAAAGTAAAGGAAGAGGAATGGCGGTGGAAATCCTTTGCTTCATAAGAACAGTGGCATTAATGACCAAAAAAAAAACATAATCAAAATTACCTTTTCCAAAGCACCCTAAGACTTACTCAAAAGTGTCCAACAATCCAAGGGGTGCTTATTTAAGAAAATCAGCTGAAATTCAATGTGAACAGTGTCCTGGTATTTCCACGTGAACATGCCCAGCCCCCCTTTCCCAGCTCCATGGTGGCCTTTCTACAGGAGCTGTGGAAACCCACGGCCTAGCCATCTTAAGATGAGTGAGTACATGTTTGGAGCTCCTCAAATGTCCCTGGTCCCAAGGCATTGTCCTTCTCTGACCTTTCTGGGATCCCTATGGAACAGCTCCACCTAGGGTGCTTAATTGTGGCCTAACTCAATGCCCACTCTGTGCGGGGCGTCCTATCCCCCAGGTGTTTGTGGCAAACAATCAGAGGCAAGTGCTCAACCTCAGAGCTGCCTGGGCTGTAATGCCAGTGAGTCAGGCAAGAAGATGGCCAAAACCTACAAGAGAGATCTGT